CCCCTGCTCTCTACTATTCAATTGTTTCGTACATCTGATTTGTGGATTGCCTCCTAGAAGAAAAGGTTTGTGGATATGACAGAATTATGACAAGCCATGTAATCTATACATCTCCAGATTCAAGGCAGTCAAGTAATTCCAAATTGGATCTGGAGAGAAGACTGGACTCTCTGAGACCACATCTGCAATGACAGCGAGGAAGATTGGATTGCTTGTGAATGTCTCAAAACCATGAAAAAGACTGAGGGTCAGAACTCAAACTACTTTTAAGGACAGATAGTTTGAAACTCCATTTTTCTGGGATTTGGGAAGAGAAGGAAATCCTGCATCTGATCTTTTGAAAAATTGCCTGCTGATATAAAGCAGGGAGTCACTGCAAAGCCAAGAGGGTAATCTGGTCCAAGACAGGACGCTTACATATTTTTAAAAAGTCATAAGGCCTAAATTCTGTCCTCAGTTCATGAAGCATTCCCTTTTCTCATCTTTCCAATCAAACTAGAGGCTGGATCTTTGGAATTATCTCTGACAATAAAAGTATGAAGTCTTGTTTTGCATCTATCTATGCACCCAAAAGCTTCAATGACTGAAATCAACTTTTTTTTTTTTGCAATTCATTAGGAATTCATGTGTCTAATGACAAGTCAATATCTGGTTTTGCCTTGGGAAAAGGGTGAGTGTGTGTGTGTGTGCAAATATGGGTATACACAGATGCCTTATAATGTCAGATGCTCTAATACTGTCATCATTACCGTGAAAAAAATGCAGAGAGCTGAGACCAGCACAAAGAATAATTATCACAACTGAAAATGTTGAAGCATGAAAACCACCAATGTATTACAGCAGCTGTTACATGCAAATAGTTTTCTAGCAGATCTGATGAGTGTCTACTCTTCTTGATGGATTGTAATGTTTCCGTCATCATCCTTGGTATATCACAAACTCTTGAAGTATTTCAATCTAAATAAACATGCTATTACTGTAATTTTATTTTATTTTTAAACCCACAAAGAATATCGATCTAGAGCCTTGAAAATGAATCTGGGAATTATTCTATTGCTTAAATATGAATTAAAGGATTTATAGCTTCTTTGATAAATTCCTGACTTACAACTAACGAGAATAGAGAAGGGAAATATCACTATTGAGACAGGCTGGTAAATACTATGTTTTAGTAGAGTTTCCTGTACTAATTATACCTATTATCGATTGATCTTATTTTGAGGGTAAACTAGATTGGAAGGAAAGAAGTCTTTGTCTTCCCACTGAAGAGCCTACAAAGATCCAGTTGCTGGAAAATGGCTCTGGTAGATTGATCAAAATAGATTTAAAAGATACCAAAGTGATCTTATGACTTAGAATTTTGTCTTTTTTTTCCTTAAACCATGAAACCTTGGAAAGTCTACAGGCTCTTTGTGGTAGAAGGTCGATCCTTGTTGGGAAGATTTTTTTTTCTTTGTTTGAACACTGTTAACGTATTTAAAAGTGGGACTACAGTGGTTAAATGCAGCACTGCAGGCTACTGCTAGATCAGCAGTTCAGCGGTTCAGCGGTTCAAATCTCCCCGGCTCAGGGTTGACTCAGCCTTCCATCCTTCCGAGGTGGGTAAAATGAGGACCCAGATTGTTGGGGGCAATATGCTGACTCTCTGTAAACCGCTTAGAGAGGCCTGAAAGGCCTATGAAGCGGTATATAAGTCTACTGCTATTGCTATTGCTATTGCTATTGCTATAGATATAGATATAGATATAGATATAGATATAGATATAGATATAGATGGATGGGGAGATGGAGATTGAGATATAGATATAGATAGATAGATAAATAGATAGATAGATAGATAGATAGATAGATAGATAGATAGATAGATAGATAGATAGATAGATA